AGAGAGAGAGAGAGAGAGAGAGAGAGAGAGAGAGAGAGTGTCCTGGTGTGGCGCTGTGGGCTGGACCCATTCTGGAAGCAGGTCATCAGGGCTTTGGTTCATTCTACTTCTGGGTCGGTTCAAACCGCCAGCCTGTCCGTTAATGGCCAAGGACAGACCTTTTGCACCACCCAGGGACTTTCACTCTAGTTCAGGAGTCTGTAAACTGTGGCCCTTGGGCTGAATGCCCACCAGCTGCTCTTTATAAATAAAGTTTTATTGGCATACTGCCATAATTTGCTTATGGTACCTTTCTCAGTTGAGTAGTTGGAACAGATTCCACAGAGCCTACAAAACCAGAAATACTCATTAGGTCCTTTTACCAAACAAAGTGTGGTGATGCTGGTTCTGATGAGCAGAGAAGGGATTCATGAAACCGCCATTCTCCCAACTTCTGTGTCCCCTTCTGTACAATGGGTTCTCCATCAAATTCCACACTGGGTATATGCCTTCTTCCCCAGCCCTGAATATTGATGTTCATTATGGTCCTCTATGCCTAGAATCACATCTACCACATAGTCTGAGCCTCAGTTTTCCCATTTGGGCAATGGATTCTTGATGAATTTCTGCTGAGTGCCCAGAGTGGACCAGTATGCAGTGGTCTCCTGTTCACCTCTGTCCAACCCTCTCTACCCATGCAGTGGGTTTGCCTGGAGCCCCCGTAGCCTCAGTCTTCTAGCCTGGGCAATGGGTCCGTGGTGGGTTCCGGCACCTCTTGACCTCTCACTTTTTGCCTGCACAGGATGAGTTCCACCCGTTCATCGAGGCGCTGCTGCCTCACGTCCGCGCCTTCGCCTACACCTGGTTCAACCTGCAGGCGCGGAAACGCAAGTACTTCAAGAAGCACGAGAAGCGGATGTCGAAGGACGAGGAGCGGGCGGTGAAGGACGAGCTGCTGGGCGAAAAGGCCGAGGTGAAGCAGAAGTGGGCGTCGCGGCTGCTGGCCAAGCTACGCAAGGACATCCGGCCCGAGTGCCGCGAGGACTTCGTGCTGGCCATCACAGGCAAGAAGGCACCGGGCTGTGTGCTCTCCAACCCCGACCAGAAGGGTAAGATGCGCCGCATCGACTGCCTGCGCCAGGCCGACAAGGTGTGGCGGCTCGACCTGGTCATGGTCATCCTCTTCAAGGGCATCCCGCTGGAGAGTACGGACGGCGAGCGCTTGGTCAAGGCGGCGCAGTGTGGCCACCCAGTGCTCTGTGTGCAGCCCCACCACATTGGAGTGGCCGTCAAGGAGCTCGACCTCTACCTGGCCTACTTTGTGCGCGAACGAGGTGAGGCTGGGGGGTTGAGGGGAGGCAGCTGTGATGTGGGGTCCAATGGGGGAGGCAGCTGTGATGTGGGGTCCAATGTGGGGTCTGAAGCAGGAGGCAGGTGCTATGTGGGATCTGATGGGGCAGGCAGGTGTTATGTGAAGTCTGATGGGAGAGGCAGGTGTGATGTGGGGGTCCGATGGGGGAGGCAGGTGCTATGTGGGGTCCGATGGGGCAGGCAGGTGTGATATGGAATCTGATGGGAGAGGCAGGTGTGATGTGGGGTCCAATGGGGGAGGCAGGTGTGATGTGGGGTCCGATGGAGGAGGCAGGTGTGATATGGGGTCTGATGGGGAGGCAGGTGCCATGTGGGTCTTAGAGGGGAGGCAGGTGTGATGTGGAGTCTGGTGAGGGAGGCAGGTGTAGTGTGGGGCTCAAAGGGGGAGGCAGTTGTGATGTGGGTCCAATGGAGGCAGGTGTGATATGGAATCTGATGTGCTATGTGGGGTCTGATGGGGGAGGCAGATGCTATGTGGGGTCTGAGGGGGCTGAGGCAGGTACCATGTGGGTCTGAGGAGGGCAGCAGGTGCAATGTGGAGTCTGAGTGGAGAGGCAGATGCCATGGAGGAGGGGCTTAACAGGGGAAATATGGTACTACAGGAGTCTGAGAGGGAAGGCAGATATAACAGGGAAGTAAGGGAATTGCAGTCTGAAGGTAGAAACAGAACTTGGCCTGGGATCTGAAGAGCAGGGGAGGGTCAATGCCAGGACCCACAGGTGTATGAGGAAGTCCATGGGGGCAAACCTGGTACTGGAGAGTCCGAGGGCAGAGACAAGTGTGAGGAGAGTCCGAGAGAAGAGGCAGGTGTGATGTGCAGTTTGAGGGGGGAGGCAGATGCAGTGTGGAATCTGAGGTGGAGGGGCGGGGCAAGGTGAGTCTGAGGTGGGAATCCTGTGGGATGTGGGCTTAGAGGCTGAACATGCCCTGGGAACCAGTGGGGAAGCCCAGCTTAGCATGGTTGAAGGTTCAAACTCACAGAAACCCTTTATAGGGTCGCTATGAGTCAGAACCAACTTGATGGTACTTCACAGCAACAAGGAAGGATGAGGTCATTTGGGAAGGGAAACATGGTACAAGGGAAATCTAAGGGGTGAGTCTGAAGTTAGAGGCAGGACTGACCTTGGGGTCTGATGGGGTGAAAACTACCCCCAAGGGCTGAAGATATGATGTTGCCAAGTCAGAGACAGGACCGAGGATGGTGGACCCAGTGTGTTCCAGAAGCCTGCTCTTAGGAGAATGCCACGGAAGGGGGTGGGGGGCGGGGTGGCTACTGTCCGTGACTTGACGTTGATGGACTCCCAGACAGCAGGCAGAGGCCTGACGAGTCACAAGTTTGTGTGACTCAGGACGCTGTGTGACTTTAGCTAGATTTCCACCCTCTCTGGACCTCAGTAGCCCCTTCTCCAGGCCTTCCAGCTGGCTGTTTGCTGGTCCCAGGTTCAGGTTGGATAAATCCATGGTGTCTTTCTGGAAGAGGAGACCCAACTTGAACTGAGCTCTCCTGTATGGTGGGCTGGAGGGCATGCCAGGGGATAGTGGTCACTTGGGCTGAAGTGTGGCCACTGGGTCCATTCTCTAAAGACTACCAGGTGTGATTTTGAGTGTCTGACTCTGGCCTCAGTGTCCCCATCTGTCAAATGGGGGGAGGGATGATGTGCTCAGAGTCCCTATCCCCACTGGTTGTGTGTGTAACATATGGGGTTCCAGCCTGCCGTGGGACTGTCTCCATGACCGCTGCCTATCCCCAGCCCAGCTGACACATACCCTAGGGGCCGCCTCTGGTCATCAGACTTTTCAGTGCCTCAGTTTCTTTGTCAGGACAATACAGGGTCATAGCAGAGTTGCCTCCTGGCAGTGGTGTAGCCCTGGGTGTGTGGGAGGAAATCCAGGGGTATGGAGTTTCCCCGGGGGGAGGCGTCACTGGGCCAGTCCTAGCCCCCCTCCCCCAGTCCTGACCTTACTTCTTTGGATTTGACCTTGGTTCCGCAGCATCCAGGGGAGGGTCTGGGGACAGGGTGGATAAGGTGACTGTCCTGGGCAGGGGAAGGGACAGCCTTGGGGACGGTAGGGGGTGGGTGCTCATTGTCAGGCAGAATGGGTCTCTCCCACTGCATCCATCGGCTGGCCTGCCCTGCCCCCACCTCCTCAGCGGCAGCGGCGCTGAGCTGATAAAATTTTGAAGCGAGGAGTTTTCTGCGTGTCAGCACAATCTCCGGCCGCTTTCCCTCCCCCACTCAGTCCCCTTCCCCCCTTGGCTCCGCAGGCAGTCCAAGCCTCCAGGCCTCCCCCCGCCGACACCCTCACGTCTGGCCGCCACGCCTCTGCCCCCTAGTCCAGCCGGCTGGCCCGTGCTAGCCCAAAAGGTCAAGGCTGCTATATCCTCCTCCATTCCCAGCCCTCTTCGGCTGTCCCAAGTCCAGGGAAATCCCTGCCATGGGGGGGAAAGGGAGGGTTGGGTTGAGAGGTGTTAGGAACGTGATGGGGGCTCTACCCTGCCCCTGCCTGGAAGCCTCAATTTGCTGGGAGTGAGGATCTAGGAAGAGAGCTGGATTCCAACATGGATGGCTGGATGACCTGGGGCAAGTGGCTTGACCTCTCTGTGCCTCAGTTTCCTTCCCAGTAAAATGGAGAACTCAAAATAGGCCTCTTTCTAGGACTGTGGAGGACTCCCAACCCTGTGGGGGCTGTGAGCGCTCGCACCCAGCACAAAGTAAGGTTCATTGATAGTTATTGTTACTAACAGTGCCAGCCTCATCAATGTGGTTAGTGTTATCAAGTCCATTTCAACTCCTAGCAACCCCATGTGACAGAGCAGAGCTACCCTATAGCATTTTCTAGTCTATCATCTTTATAGGAGTCTCAGCCATTCAGTTTGTTGATAAGCACTTAACTGTTTTGCCACCAAGGTTACTTACTACTCATCATTATCTTTAAGATAACAATATCCCAAAAAGTCCTGTGCCATGCTGTTCCCTTTGTCTGGAATGCCCTTCCCTATATGGAAAACTCCTGCTCATCCATCAAAACCCCAACTCATAGCTCCACTTTCTGTACCCCAACTTTTGCATGGCGTGACATACTCACAGTAGCCCTAGGAGGCAGGTACTATTATTGTACCCACTTTACAGAGGCTTAAAGAAAGGATGAGGCCTGCCTGAGGTCACATGGGGGGGAAGGTGCGGGGAGGGGACCCAGGTAGGTTCTGCCCCTAGCCCCCCACCCTGGATAATGGAAGGGTTGAAAGAAGCCTAACCAGCTATGTGGGTGCTTCCAGGGGTGCATTCTGTATTTTGGGGATCCATAGAGACCTAGGCTGCTCCTTCCCCCCGATTCTCACACTAAGCCCCAAATCCCTGACCCCTCTTCCAGGACACCCACCCACGTTTTGGGCTAAGGTGCAGTCTCATTCTCCAGCAGACAGCTGGCAGTCTGACAACCGGAAGAGCTAGCCACCAGCTCCCCCTCCCCCCTGCCAGGACTGTCCCCAGGGCTGGAGGGGTCCCGGTCTGGCCAAATTCAAGCGTCTGGCTTCCATCAGCCTTGCTGGATGGCTGTGGCCCTGGGGTTGACAGGGAGGGTGCAGCATGGCTGGGGCTTTGTGGGCCTCTGGAGAGAACTGGGAAGGGTGAAGGTCTCCCTGGGCACCGCCCTCAACATCAGAGGTGAGAGAGATATGGGGATTGATGGGGGGACCTCCAGAACCTACAGCGAAATAGACACACAGAGACAAAGAGACAGACAGGAGGACCCAGAGATTCAGATACAGAGAGAGATGTAAGGAGATGCAGAAAGACTCAAACAGAGACACAGAGATACAGGAGATGCACAGAGACACAAGGAGAGATGCGGAGAGCTCTGCAGATGCCCATCTCCCACTGTGGCTCTATCAAATCCCTCTGAGGTGGGAGCAGGGCAGGAGAGGAGTGCAGTCCACTCCTGGGTCCCAGGTGCCTGGTCCACATATCCTGCATCCTCAGACAAGGTCTGGCTCTTCAGGTCTCTACTCAGGTTCCACTCTCCCAGGGGTGCCAGGTGGACTGATGGGGCCTCGTCCCACTGGGGTTCCCAGACTTCCATCATCAGGCGGATCGGCATGTGAAAATGCTCTCAGCTCTTGGTTGCTGGTTAGTAGAGCCGAGGACATCTCCCAGGACAGTGTGACGATCCAACAGGACACAGTTCCAAGCGCTGGACACAGTGTGTGCCCAGGGGCAGGGGTGAGGAGACAGCTGGGGGACCACAGTGGAGGTGGCATGAGCTGTACTTAGGGGACAGTGGGACGGGGGAAGGGAAGAAGACCATTCCATTAAATTAGTCATGCCATTAAATTAGTAGGACACCATCATCTGTTGCCATAGCAACAGAGAAACAAAGCAGGGGAAGGTGGGAAGAGGGACTGGGGAGTTCTTGTGGACCAGGAGGGCCCCTCTGAGGGTAAAGTATATGGTAAAAATACACACAACAAAACAACACATATTGCTGGTTACATGTTTCACACGGTGTCACCACCCTGTCTCTGCCTCTATTGTTTTGCCACCATTGAGACAAACTTTCTGCCCCTTAAAACTTCTCGGCTTTAGGGCTACCTTTGCCATTTTGATCTCATACAAAGGGGACTTCAAAAAGTTCATGGAGGTTTTCATTACCTTTCTACTCCATTTTTTCATGAACTTTTTTGAATTATCATATAATTCTTTTAAAGCACAGTAGCTCCATACAATAAGCACTGGGCTGCAAACCTGAAGGTCAGCAGTTAGAGCCCACCAGTCACTCCTCTGGAAGAAGGTGAGACTTTCTGCTCCCGTGAAGATTTAAAGTCTCAGAAACCCATACAGGGTTGTTATGAGTCAGAACCAACTGGACAGCATTTCAGCAACAATACTTAAGGTAGACAGTCTCCATTTATTTGAGGAGGTGCCTTCTGAGTTGAACCTGAAGGAGGTGAGGAAGCCATGAAGGG